GGCTCAAGTATAGCAGGGATTGTGGGGCTGGCGCAGGATCAGGCAGTGTTTCGTTCTGCTGTGCATGGGGTCGCTATGAGTCGGAAACGACTCGGCGGCACTTAAGAACAACAACAACATCTTTCTGATGTACCTTTTTTTTTGGTTGCTTATAATATTTTTATTTTCTGCACTTTTACTCTGGTATGTCCAATTTGTATTTGTTTTCACTTATCCTGCTTGAGTTTCATTTCATTGAATTTTAATATCCTTTATTAGTTCTGAGAAAGTCTAAGCCATTATCACTTTAAATATTTTCTCTGCTTCTTCTTCCTTATATTTAATTATATGTAGTTTAGACTTTCTCATTGTCTTTTTTTTTTTTTTTAAGGCTGTCAGTATTTTTTCTTTTTTTTTTTTTTGCAGTGTTTCCTCCCCTCCCCTCCCACCCTTGGTAGTCAACCAAGAAAGTTTCCATCCATATATAAAGCTTTCCTTGACTTTTTACAATAATTAACTAATACTCTATGTTTGTTCTTCTGTGATTGACTTATTTCACTCAGCGAAATGTCCTCCAAGTTCATTCACCTTATGTGGTGTTTTGCAGATTCTACATTATTCTTTAGTGTTGCATAGTATTCCATTGTGTGTGTGTACCATAGCTTGGTTATCCATTCTTCTGTTGATGGACACCTAGGTTGTTTCCATCTTTTTGCTATTGTATATAGTGCTGCAATGAAGATGAGGGTCCATATATCTGTTTTTGTTCTGGCTCTCACTTCTTTAGGATATATACCTAGTAATGGAATGGCTGGATCAAATTGTATTTCTAATTCCCACTTTTTAAGGAATCGCCATACTGCTTTCCACAGTGGTTGTACCATTTTACAGTCCCACCAGCAGTGTATGAGAGTCTCAATCTCTCTACATCCTCGCCAATATTTGTTATATTCTGTCTTGTTGAACTATGCTATTAGTGCTGGGGCCAGATGGTATCTCATTGTTGTTTTGATTTGTAGCTCTCTAATGGCTAACAATAGTGAACATTTCTTTATGTGTTTGTTGGCTGCCTGACTATCCTCTCTGGTGAAGTTAGATCTTCTCATTGTCTTTTATCTCTTCTCCTCTTTTATGTATTTTCATCTTGTTGACTCTTCTTGCTTCATTCTGGATATTTCCTCAATTCTTCTTTTAGTCATTTTTCATTTTGTTCTAACTCACCCTTTCTTTCTTATAAATGTCTATATTTGTCATTCTATAACTTTTATTGATACAGTTCCAAATTTTCAGTGACTTTTGCAAACATTACTACAGTGTTTGATCCATATAAAAAAATGGATGGCAAAATTATCAGGTAAAATTTGATGAGAAACAAGATATTGATATAGTCTCAAAGTATCTTCTTACAAATAACTTAAAAATTATAAAGAGAAAAATGGTAACTTACAGTGGAAAAACTTAACAGATTCCTTCTTAACTAAATAATCAAAGTTAACATCACCAATAATGGAACAACCTGACATTACATACCTCCTAAAGTGATGCAGTGAAAAAACTTATTGCTATTTCTGTGGTGAAAAAAAAAAAAAAACTCACTGCCATTGAGTCAATTCCAACTCATAGCAACCCCTCCCTTTGGGTTTCCAAAGGCATGTCACTGCTAACCATAAGGGTGGTGGTTCAAACCCACCAGCCACTCCTCAGAAGGAAGATTGAGCAATCTACTTCCATAATGATACCTCCTCGGAAACTCAAGTCGGATCAGACTCAATGGCGGTGATTTTTTTTTTTTTTTTTATCTCTGTGAAAGTAGATTGTCCATTCTTCCTTCCGAGGAGTGGCTGGTGGTTTTGAACAACCAACCTTCTGGTTAACAGTCAAATGCCTTAGGCACCATGCCACCAAATCATAATATGAATCTAATTATAAAAAAAAGCAGACCAATCCAAATTGAGGAATATTCTACAGAACAGTTGGCCTAAATAGTTCTCAAAAACATCAATATCATGAATGACAAAGAAAAGCTAAGGAATTATTCCAGATTAAATGAGACTAAAGAGACATGACTAAATGCAATGCATGATCCTAGACTGGATAAAGGAAAAACAAACAAACTGCCATACTGGACATTATTGGAAAAATTGGCAAATTCTGAATATGGACTTGACATTAGATTAGATTATAACGTATCTATGTTAGATTTTGCAAATTTGATAATCTTACCTTGATTACATAATAGAATTTCCTTTTCATTAGGACACTAAATACTGAAACATATACTAGTAAGGGGGCATGATGTTTGCAACTTATTTTCAAATACTTCAGCAAAATAAAATAAAATGATAAGGCAAAACTTAAAACTTGGTGAATTTGGGTAAGGATATATGGAAATTTTTGTCCTATTCTTGTAACTCTTATGTAAGTTTAAAATTATTTTAAAAGAAAACATATTTTTAAACTTATGATACCAATTTCCATAACATCTTGTCCTTGCTGAAATTTTAAAGCTCAGCTTTTATCTTCATGACCCTAGTAACAGTTGTTGCACAGTTTGTATCTGGTAACTCTTAATATCTGGTGTCCTAGAGGCAATCAGGTCAGCCCCTTGTCCCTGTAGCCTTGCAAGTGTCCCCAAAGTAGAACTCTGCCTTGCAGAGCAAAAGAGGCTCAGAATGGTGGCGTCATCAGGGTCTCAGAGCAGAGAGTGGGCAGTTCTCCAGGGTTCCTACTTTGGGCAGACCCGGATGCAGTCTCTCATCACCCCAACAGCCCACCACAAGCGTAGCAATGTCCCAGGGCTAAAGTGCCAATCACCTCCCTGATGTAGGCCAGATGATACCTCCCTCTCCTTTTGGCTTTTTGATGCTTTTAAGAAGCATTAAGATTTTTTTTTTTAATATATTAACATTAGCTTTTTATTTGTCATCAGTGGAAAGTTGGTCTGAATGACCCAGTCCATCATGACTATAACCTGGAATTATGCCTACTTTTTCATTGTAATGCAAAAGGTTTGCCTTAATGTATGAAAAAACTGGATTAACATCACAAGAAAGCCAACCACACTCCTCCTTCTATTTCTTTGTAACTATTAATCACAAGACCTTAAAACAAGTTAACATTTTATAAATAGTATCTAACTAAGGGGAGCTCTGGTAGTGTAGTGCCTGAGGCATTTGCTAACCAGAAGGCTGGCAGTTCAAACCCATCAGCCACTCTAAGCTAGATATAAATATATAGAAGTTACTTCCTTTGAGAGTTCAAGCCTTAGTTGGCCTAACCATCACAGTTCAACATAAAATCGGATCTAGGGTATTTTTAAGTATTCATTTTCCATGAAAAGTTTTGTACTGCAAGATGAAGGAAGAAAGTAAATAACTGGCTTAATTAAAAAAAAAAAAAAAAGGTGATTCAATAGGGGAATTAGATTTAAAAAGACAATACCATCTATAGACTCTTCCTTCTGGTTTAATGCTGAGCAGGCTGATGTCACAGCCTCTTCCATAGGCTGATTGGTTTTCACATCATCATCTGTGGAGACTTTAAGCCCTGAGAATTTCCACTCAGTGTAGTTCATCTGCTTCAGAACAAGACAACAATACCACTGTTGGTAATATCTTGGATTTCTTTCTCTCCTTTTTTCTAGTATTAGCTGTTTTTAAATTTAATACTGTGTTTTTAAATAAATACAAAATTAACACATGTTCAAATTGGAAAATAATTTTTAAAAACAAATGCTAAGTTATAGTGTGTGTGTGTGTGGGGGGGTGTTCAGGTGCTACATAAGTGACTTTAGTCTAGTTTTCTATGCAAGAAAGGTATTGTCCAGCACAGAGTTGGTGTTCAGCATATACTTTTTCCTTAATTTCTTCCACTTAAAGTTCTTTCTTCCACCTAAAGTGACTGGTTAAGACAGTGGTACCTAAGTTCTCAGCATAAATTGGAGAATCCATAAGATGCTGAATTAAATGAAATGGAAATGAACAGTTCAGAGTTTATTAAACCAGGGTTTATTATTGTGATTATGAAACACATACCAGCTACCAACAGCCACAGCTATTGTCTCTCTTGTGTGTCTGCTTCTGCCTCTACCTTGAGAATAACACATCTGGGGACACTGCAATCCATATTTCAGTTCTTCAGGATCTCAAAGGTTTTACCTGTAGTAAATTTCCACCAAAGACAGTTCGACTAAGATACTCCATTCTGTTCTTTCCTTGGATCCCTGCTCTTTTGCCATGTTTTCTTCTTGAGTAGGTCTCAATCTGGCGGTGCTTTTCCTTTCTTTCTCCCATATGAAAAGGTTTTCTTTTTACTTGATATTGGCCAGCTTCAATGGGAATCTCAACAGATGCCGTGTTGTCCTAAGTAAAAGGATCAGAGACAGTCTTACAAGATGATAGTTTAACAACCTTGAAACTCAAGAAAGGGATTTGTGAACTAGCATTAGACATCATTCCTCTCCTCCTGTGGAGGTGAGACGCCATCTCCCTCTACTCCCCACAATAAAACCCCAGATTCTGCTCCATCAATAGCCTCATGGCATTACGAGGGATGCAGATTAAGTTCACAAAACACATCGCATTCAGAGAAGAAACTTCTTTCACTCCAATTTTAATACCTTTTCCCTCAAATCCACTCCACATGGTTGGGAGAGATCTGCTACCTGGGGAGAAAAGGAAGCCATTTCTTCTTCAGATAAGGTCTCTAAACTGTCCTTGATGTCATTCTCCTCAGTATGATCTTCTGGTTTTAGGAAGTTCTCTGGGGGCAGGTATTGAGACTTCCAATTCACTTTCATCTCAATAGATCCATTGGGTTTCCCCACAGGGTCAGTAAGGTTAAAATCACCTGAGACATACATAAATAATAAGATCTCATCACATAAAATAGGCAAACCTTCATTTAACAACACCTCATCTATTCCCTCAGTTTTTAATTTCTTTATATTTTGTTAGTAACTGATTGTTGTTATTAGATGACATCAAGTCAATTCCACCTCATAGCAACCCCATGTGATGGAGCAGAACTGCCCCATAGTGTTTTTTTGACTGTAATCTTTACAGAAGCAAATTGCCAGGTCTTTCTCCTGTGGAGCCACTGGGTGGGTATGAACTACCAACCTTTCAGTTAGCAGCTGAGTGTTTAACCTTAGTGCCGCCACCAGGGATCCTTAGTAATTGATTAATGTCAATCACATAATCAAGATGCTAATATACTTAGGAGTAACATAAAGTAACAGTATACTTAGAATGTTTATAGGGGAAGATGAGTATTTCTTGGTTTCAGGAAGAGATAGTCAAAAGTTTCATGGAGAGGAATACAGCTTGCTTGTTATCAATCACCCTGCCAATAAGTAAGATTGCTTTACTATTACAAAAGGCTTACAATGCCTTAGTCATACCAAGAAAAGCATCATCTACACTCAACTAGTCCCTATTTCTAAAATAACAAAAGCCAAAAACAAAAACAAAAACAAAAAACTTAAGCAAATACCTCATTGCCAAATGTCAAACTTCTCCATGGTAACAGATGGTTCACACTGCCTCTCCTTTTCAAGGAGGAGTTATGGCAGAAGCATCATCTCCTTTTTAGCAGTTGTGGCATTGGGAGGAGCAAGGCCTCACACAATTCCTAAATATCCAGAAGCTTGTTCAATATGATTAGAAATAGCTGTACCCATTCAGACTTCCCAAAAAGGGTATGAGTATTCCTGCCTTACTCTCTCAGGTCTGCAGCCAGAGAGTCAAACCCTCCTAGGTACACCTGGAAAATCTGAGTATGAAACTATAGCAAGTAGTATTTAAAAATTCCAAGATATTTGCCTTTGTCATGGTCTTCTGTGGAAGTTTCTCTAACTTTTATCTGAAGTTTAAAAGAATGCAGAGAATGTATTAAGGGGGAGTGTTATGATTAGAGCTCATGATCAGATACTTAATCAACTACATGCCAAAAAGCACTAGGCTTTAAGTAAAGACAAATACTGAAAAGAACTAGAAAATTTGAAAAAGTTTGTTCAAGGATAGAGGATGTAAAATTCAGGTTGGTGAATCTACCAATTTAAGAGTTTTGTTTTTGTTGCTGAAAAGAAGCAGAAGAAGCCCTTGTATTCATATAGGTAGTAAGGCTCTAAGTTTTCTGCCTGGTTGCTCCTGATAATATTCTAAAATAATTTCAGCAGGCTGTAAGATACACTATTCCAAGCAAGTCATCAGAAAAAGGTAAACTTAGGACAGGGAAATAACACTGGACAGAGAGCACAGGGATATAATAATCTTGAAATCCCACCTTCAATGGATTTGTTTTGTGCAAGAGGTAGCAAGGGCACTTGCACTTGGCCAAGGTATGAGCCAGGCTCTGAGTCTTCATCATCAAAAACATACACAAGTAGGGCTTCCTGCTTCAGATACTGATTCAGCTCAGAGGTCACAAGCACAGGGAATCGCGCCTGGTCTCTAAAATAGGGATTGTTACTGGCTGGAATGATGGCAGTGTCATGGTCAGCAAAAGTGAAGAAGCGGTACATGGCATAGGGACTGGGTTGGGTTCCCAGCCGACGACTCCGGAGGTCGCAGCACCTGATGATCTCCACCCACAGCTCATTCTGATGTTTCCAAGCCTGTGATCTGGACTGGAAAGATGTTGGTCTTGGAATGAGGAAAAAGGGCAGCCTGACAGAATTGTTGTGAGTGCAGCTCAACACTGCTGCTGAGGAAGACCTTCAACCTGAGAGAATTGCTGTATACTAACTGGGGTCATAGAGAAACTTAATGACCTTCACCTGCCTGCAAACTGGCTCTGGCAGACAGTTACTTGAGGGGTATGCTAGTACTCCTGCCCTTACTCTTAAAGAATAGATCAGAGAAGCTTTTTTTTTTTTCTTCACAGCAAGGAGAGGTAGGCTAGCTCCAATAGCTCAAAGGGCATGATTTCATTTCAAACTCAAGCTTGACCAAAGAAAGAATCTGGACTAGTTGTGGCATGACAATTTTTCTCTTTCTCATTCAACAAATACTTATTGAGAGTGGAGGACTGAGCTGTTCTCTTGAGCTGCATGGCTGAGGCTCCTTTGGGATGTACGAATACATCATTTTCCTCACCTCCATCTCCTCCTGGGTCTCCCAGGCTTCAGGCACATTAGCTGACAGGTAGGCCTGAGCTTTCTTTTGCTTACTGCATGCCTGTAGTCTGGCTCTTACGGGGAAGTGAAGCTTCATCCAATACTCTAGCGCTCCAAAGTCTTCTCCACCAGCTCCTGGTAGCAGAAGGTATGAAAGGCATGGAGATACAGATAGTGTGGCAAGATCAAGAATAAAAGCAGTTGCCAGCCACTTTGAAAGGGATCAAAATTGGAGATCCTGGTTAGAATGGTAGAAAAAATGTGTAACAAAACTAAAAAACATAAAAAAGACCAGAACTACTGGTTGGATAGAGACTGGTGAAACCCTCCACACTATGGCCCGTAGTCACCCTTTGGGGCTGGAATTGGACTCACTCCTATGGCTTAACTTTCAGTCAAACAATATAAACAGGTCTCTGAGTTGAACAACTACACCAGAGAGATGTATTCCTTAGAACAATCAATCATGAGAAATTAGAAGGACAGAATTCGTACAGGGAGAAAGCTAAGGAGGCAGGAGTACATAGGTGGGAAGGACACAGGGAAAGGGTAACTACAGGAAGGAAGTGGGAAGAGAGCTGTTATATTGTGGGGATTGCAATCAGTGTCACAAAATAAAATGTGTACGAACTATTGAACGTGGAATGGATCTGCTTTGTAAAATTTCACCAAAATCACAATAAAAAGTTAAAAATAAAATAAAATAATAAAGGCAGAGGCTCAAGTACAGACTTTGGAAAATACTACTATAGTCTTGGGAGCACTGGAAACAAAACAGCACTTACCAGTAAGTGTGGTAGTGCCATGGACTCTCTCCACAGTGTTCAGTACCCTATCAAAGCAAATCCATCCAGCTGCAAGGGTGTGGTGCTCACTGGCTATAGCCTGGTGAAGATCTATCCAGACTGAAGCCCCTTGAAGGTAGCGCAAGAAAAGGGAGTCTGTCTCCACCACATACTGAGAGGTGAAGTCATACAGAGGCTGTGACCCCACAGCCAGTGGAGTACAGTGAGTCTCAAAATCATAGAAGGAATAAGTACAAAAAGTGGTAGGTTGGATATCTCCAGCCTGAGCCAGTGCAGCAGATGTCAGGAAGGCCTGATGGAGGTGCAGTTCAAAAAGAGTTTCACCTTGATGCAGCAGAGAAATGTCCACTTTATCCTCATCTCTATTGGCTGGTAGTGTTTCCAGACATAATGGCAACTGTCGAGTGCCATAAGCCATATCTTTCAGCTGTTCTAGAGGGGAAAGAAAACTGCCTATCCGTTAAAGGTAGAGTGTTCTATCCTAGCATAAAGAAGGGTGGGTAGAAAGAGACTGAAAAACATGGTGAAAGTTTAAGTTGTGATTATTTGAAGAAACCATGTGATTCAAAAAGAAAAGCAATAGAATGACAACAAGGAGATCTGAATTCTGATAACAAAATAATCCAGAGTCTGCTTTAGAGAGAAGGTACAAAATGAGTGATTGGAAAATAAATGGTAAGCTCAGGAAAACACTGGAAGCACAGTTTCACCACATACATGACACTATTTGGGTTTACAGTAAGATCCCATTAATTAGTTGATAATTCCCTTAGAGAAGCACCAAGAACACAAAACATGAATATTCCAATAAACAGAATAAGTCTAGGATATTGGCTATGGACAGAATAGCAAGTTATAGCCACAGTGTCTATTACGTTGAAGCCTACCAAGAAATGTTTCCCCTTCTCCAGCTAGATGACTGACAAGAATCTTTATTCTGTTAATATTTGGTTTCATAGTAAGAAGGTAAAAATATGTTCTTTAAGTCAAAAAGTCATGGAGCAAGAAATGAGGGAGGAAACTTACTAGAAAGAAGTTGAAAATATTGGTAATGGGATGAGAAGATATTTAGACTATCTACCAAATCTGAGCATTACCTTCCATGTCCAACCAATCAGAAACTTTGATAACTAGTCTGCTTCAAAATGGGGAGTGTTAGAGTAGTCACCGTGTGTTGATGGTGAAGGTCCTATTTTAAGAGTTAAAGCAGTAAAATAAAAATACTCTAGATACATGAGAATGTCTTCATGTCCAAAATAATGGCATATGGAGATTAACTAATTAATGGTTTCTTAATTGATAAGACTAATACAACTAAACTTTTGCATTGTATAACAGGGTTAATTATCTTAGTATATAAATAACTTCTACAAATAAATAAGATACTATTAAGAAATGAACAGAGGACAAGAATTCTCAAAAGATATAATACAAATAACTGATCAACATATGAAAACTCTTTAGGTTTACCAGTAACCAAAGAAATATGTACTAAAAAAAATCAATCTTCAGAAGTAGGTAAGGGTATTTATTCTGTACTGTTCCAGAAGAAAGACCTTGAATCTGAATGACATGAGAATTTCAATCCAAGGAGAGTTTCTTTTATCATATTCACACTGGCATGGTTAAACCATGCTCCAAAATCCACCTCCCTTTATTCTGGTAGCGTAGTGCCTAAGGCACTTGACCACTAACCAGAAGGCTGGCGGTTCAAACCCACCAGCCACTCCTCGGAAAGCAGGTTGGGCAATCTACTTCCATAGTGATACTGCCTCAGAAACCCAAGGAGGAATCATTATGAGATGGGTCCGACTTGATGGCACATAAAACAACAACAACAACTTTACTCTGGTTCCATGCTCACTAACAAACCTGCTTACTGATTCTGCTTTCTAGAGAGAATGCCCTGAATAATGGTTTCAAGTAGTCTTATGATAGCAATGGAATAGCCACTACTATAAAACAATAAATGAGCATTTGGGATTAAACATGTCTCTGGTGAATTCAGTTAATGTTAAATCATGTCTCTTACTGGTGGTGTATTAACACAGCCAAGTTTCTTGATGTACAAAGCTGAGACCAGACTCTGGTCAGCAATGCCTGTGTATGAAGCCTGCATAAATATCCAGGCAGCACCCTTGTCACTGTCAACATCCTCAAACTGCAACAAAATTTTAGAAACTTTTAGAAATCACAGAAAAGGATGATGGAAAATGAGTTATGAAGTTCTATTATCAACAAAAACTGCTTTAGGTCTGGGTTGAAGAAACAATCTCAAGAAAGTGTGTCATATCACCCAAGGGCTGACAGTGGCACTCTCTCATTCTCAAAATAGAATCAACTCATGGAAGCAACTGCTGATTCCTAGTGAAAACTCTCCTAAGAAATCAGAAAAACACATTGACATAGTAGAGGAAAAGAGTTCCTAAACTACATATTATAACAACAAAGATAATAGGACAAAGAAGAAGGGGAGGAATACATCACATGCCAAGGTCATAAGAGGTAGTTCTTAAATGGGTACACAAAGAGGAATATATGTGTTAGCTGTATGAAGGGTTCCAAGATGAGGATAACAAAGTGCTAAGACTTGCCAGATGTTGGAAGGCCATGGCTTCTTAAAATATCTTCCAGCTGCTTGATACGATTGGTCTTGAGGTCTAGGAGTTGATTTAACCTCTCCAGTTTCTCTTTGCTATCTTTATTTTCATTATCAGCTTTTCTCATCAATGCCTCCAGTTCCTCCTGAAAAAAAATCGTGTCTGAATTTTTCCATCTCAGTGGCCCAGAGCTAAAGAGTCCAGATAAAAAGTAGCATTTTCTGGGTAAAGGAGACTCTGCTATCTCTTCAACTGGGGAAGATGCATCCACTAGTGGGTTTCTCACTGACCCCTCTATGACCAATTGTGCTATTAGTATCATAGGGTAATATTTTCTTGGGACTGACAAAAAGTGAACCTGGAAGCTTCACACCTTCCATTTTCATTAGCTGACCCCTTCATTGGCTGCTATTGAGAAGGTGCTATGACCATGTGTGAGTCTTCAAGTTTTTCAAAGAACAGCATATTCTATATTTGTATAGGATAATATATTACCTTGCATCAACTCTGGAAACCCAGGCCTTGCTTCATTCCCAGTCCTATAAGTGCTTCCTACGTGCCCCTTTACTATCCCCTTCTCCCCCCATATCATCTGTTCTTGCACCTGATAACACTCGTTGATTTGGCGCTGCAGAAGAAGCATGTCTCTGGTCTTATCCAGTTCCAATGTGGTCTCTGCATGTGATGCTTGCAATTCACTTAACATTTGGGAAAGTTTCTGCTCTTCTTGGTTTCTTGATTCATAGGGCTATAGAAGGGGAAACCATTAGTAAAAGGAGTATAAATGTGATAGGTACAGTAATAACTATTCTCCATAAAGAAGTTGTTAGTAGTAGGTAAAATGTTAGCAGCAGAATCGACTCCAAAACATAAGAGGACTTGTATTACTTCACAAGTGCTCTCTTCCCTAGTTCTTCATGTTCAGTAGCAGCAGTGAAGGAAGGTTATACAGGCTCTAATGGCCGCTGGCTCTTCAGCAGGTCATTTCAAGTCTTCGTCTGAAAAAGATTCTAAATTACATGAGCTGTAAAGGGTGGGAAAAATGGATGGAGCTATGACGCTATCTCTACTCTCAGCCTTCTCAGATCCTTCCAAATATGGTCCTCAATCCAGTCAAAATATTATCTAGTTACTTTTCAAATCCCTTTATCTTTTCCAGGAATCTTTCTTTGCCAGAGATCTCTCTACAGAGTGGACTTGTTTGTAAAGAGGATCTTACCTCTATCTGAGCAGTTTCTTGGAATTGAGCTGAGTGCGTGAGTGGTTCTGACTGCTCTTCTGAAGATTGGGAAATTGTGTTTTTCTTTTGTAGAATCTCTACTTCCTGTTGATGCTTCAGAAGCAAGTCGGTAACTTCAAGCTTCAGATCCTGGTTTTCAGCTGGGGGAAATAATAACCCAGTAACCAGAGTTGAATCGAGTGTGAATTAAATTTTCCCACTAACTCTCAATTCATTTTATTAATTTGTCCTTCAGAAGGAATTTTCTCTTATTTCTACAAAGGAGTTCTAGCTTATCAGCCAAGTAAAATGAATTGATTCTTGCACTACAAAAACAAAAACAAAAAAAAAGCATCTTTATTACTGTAGAGTGGTGAAAAGGACAGCAATAACAAGAGTCACCTGGCTAACTGAACAGTCCAAATCTTTTGACAGCACCATTTCTACCAGCATTTCTGACTTCTAGGATATGGATTCTCTGTGGCACCCATCTCCATACCTACTCTGACCTGGAGAGAGGATAGGCATTTCACTGTGTATGTGTTTTAGGGAAAGAAGATAATCTCTTTTCATTGTGTGGGAATCTATATATTAGAAAGGGGGTTAGATTAGATTACTGTTAAGGTCCTCAGAAGACTTCACTTGTACTTCATACATACCACAGGGTCCTTACTGTGTACTCCTAAGCTTTATTCTCTTATGGTTCCTGCCTCTATATTTGTTGTATGTTATATTCTTTTTCCTTCACTCTCCTATTTGAATGTACTGGAATATAATGTAATATAAATTTGGTAAGACTAAATTATCAAGATTCAAGTAGGCAAAAAGAAGTCAAATGAAGGTCTTTTTGATGGAACAGCTGACCCTTGAACAACACAGGTTTGAACTGCATGGGTCTACTTATATGTGGAACTTTTGCAATAAATATATTGGAAATTTGTTTTTTAGAGATTTGTGACAATTTGAAAAACTTACAGATGAACTGTGCAGCCTAGATATATATATTAAAAAAAAGGAAGAGGAAAAAAAATTTAGGTATGTCATGAATGTATAAAATATATGTAGATATTAGTCTATTTTATCACTTACTACCTACCATAAAAGATACAGAAATATATCATAAAAAGTTCAAATTTATCAAAACTTATACACACAGGTACTTACAGACCATAATGGCACCATTTTCAGTTGAGAGAAATGTAAACAAATATAAAGATTTAATATTAAATCATAACCACATAAAATTAATTGTGGTACAAATAATTTTGTAGCTATATCCTATTGCTATTATGGTGAGTTCAAATGTTGTGAGTGTCTGTTTATAATATCATGTGACACTAATCATCTCCATGTGAGCAGTTCACCTTTCCAGTAAATTATGTATGGCAGTAAAAAGTGATCTCTTGAAGTTCTTGTGTATTTTTCATTGTGTTTAGGACAGTACCATAAACCTTGAATAAAACCATGGGATCCATACAAAGTGCTATAAGTGGTGCTGGAAGTGCTCCCAAGAAACAAAAAAGTCATGATATTACAAGAATAGGTTAAATTGCTTGATGTGTACCATGGACTGAGATTTGCAGCTGTCATTGCTTGCCATTTCAAGATAAATGAATCCAGCCTAAAGACCACTGCAAAAAAAGAAAAGGAAATTTATGAAACAATCACTGTAGCTATGCCAGCAGGTGTGAAACCTTGTACTTTTCATGGAATACATATTTACCTGTATTGAAAATGCAGCTTTTAGGTGGGTGCAGGATTGAGATATGAAAAGTATACATATAGACTCTCCTATGCTTTGAGAAAAGGAGCTCTGGTAGCATAGCGCCTAAGACACTTGACTGCTAACCAGAAGCCTGGCGGTTCAAACCCACCAGCCACTCCTCAGAAGGAAGATGGGCAATCTACTTCTGTAGTGATACTGCCTCGGAAACCCAAGGAGGGGTCGCTATAACTTGGGTCCAACTCGACAACACATAACAACAACAATAACATGCTTTGAGAAAAAGTGAAGTCATTATATGATAACTTACAGAAAAAGGAAGGTGAAAGATCTAAAGCTGGAGAATTTAATGCCAACAAAGGATGGTTTGACAATTTTAGAAAGAAGTTTGGCTTAAAAAATGTCAAAATAACAGAAGCAGCAGCTTCTGCCGACCAAGAAACAATAGAGGAGTTCCCAAATGCCCTTAAGAAAAGTACTGAGGGAAAAAAAAAATAGGAGATGTAAATTCTAATCCCAAATTTTATTGAACTAAATATCTGCATAGATAGGCCTTTGAACAAAACCACTCCACAGACTTAGCCTCTGTGAGCTTTTCATCTGTAGGTTGGTACGTGGTTTTTCACATCCCTCCAAGCACCATATGTATGCTCATTTGTAAAGCTCTCAGGAAAAAAAAAAAAAACAAACAAACTTCCAAAAGACCTTTCCTGACCCCTTAGACTAGGATAAGCTCCCCAATACCTGTTTAATTTCTGTACCATCCCAAAACACCCCATAAAAAGAAAAGAAAAGAAAATTATTGAGGAGAAAGGATATCTGCCTCAACAGGCTTTTAATGCAGACAAAAGTATCCTATTCTGGAAAAATAAATGCCACAAGGGACATTTATTAGTAAGGAAGAGAAGAAACCACCACAGTTTAGGGTAGAAAAGGATAGGCTTACTGTTTTTTGCAAATGCCGTCGGGTTTATGATCAGGACTCCCTTGTCTATAAAGCTACTAACACCTAAACCTCAAAGAGAAAATATAAACACCAGCTGTCAGTCTTTTGGTTTTTCAACAAGAAGGCTTGGACAACTAGAACATTTTTTTCTGGATTAGTTTCATTGGTATTTTGTCCCTGAAGTCAGGAAGGACCTTGCCAGTAAGAGGCTGACTTTTAAAGTTCTTTTGATATTGGACAATGACCTTAGCCACCTAAAACTCAATGGGTTCAACACTAAAGGTGTGGAAGTGGTATACTTGCCCCAAAACACAACACCTGCAATTCAGACTCTAGATCAGAGGGTCATAACGACCTTTAAGGCTCATTACACTTGGTACTCTATGGAAAGGATTGTCAACACTATGGAAGAGAACCCAAATAGAGAGAATATCATGAAAGTCTGGAAGAGTTACACCATTGAAGATGCCATTATTATTATAGAAAAAGCTGTGGAAGTCATTGAGCCTTAAACAATAAATTCCTGCTGGAGAAACCTATGTCCAGATGTTGAGCATGATTTCACAGGATTTATGACAGAGCCAATCAAGGAAATCATAACAGAGATTGAGCATATGGGGGCAGATAAAGTAGGGGATGAAGGGTTTCAAGATACAGATCTTCAGTTATGGGAGAAGAGAAGGGCAGTGTTTGCACAGAGAGATAGTTTGTGGGGTAGGACTGCATGGGAGGGAAGGACACAGGGAAGAGGTAGCTATGGGGAGGAAGTGGGAAGAGAACTGTTACACTGTGGGGAACTGCAGTCAATGTTATGAAACAAAATGTGTATGAACTGCTGTGTGGAAAATGAATTTGTAAACTTTCACCCAAATCACAATAAAAATTGAAAAGAATATATGGATCTTGGAGAAATTCAAAAGCTAATAGACACCACACCGGAAGAATCTGTAGAAAATGACTTGATGGAGATGAGTGCTGAACCAGTGCCAGACAATGAGGAAGAAAACATAGAAGAAGCAATGCCAGAAAACAAATTGACATAAAACAATCTGGCAGAAAAGTTCTGATTATTCAAGACAGTTTTTGAGATCTTTTACAACATGGACCCTTCTATGATATGGGCACTGAAACTAGAGCAACAAAAGTAGAAGAGGGATCAGTGCCATATAGAAACATTTTTAGAAGGGGGGAAAAAAAGACAGAAATTACAAAGTATTTCTATAAAGTTATACCAAGAGTGCCTTTCCTGCCTTACTTTCCATCTCCTTCACTTCTTTCTTCTGCCTCTTGTGAGACAGCATGACCAACTCCTCCCCTTCTTCCTCCCCTTTAGCCTACTCAGCACAAAGATGATGAGATGACCCACTTCCATTTAATGAACAGCAAACCATCATGCTGTACAGTTAATAAACTCATCTGTTGTCTACATTTGTGAGTGTCTTCATGTGAAAATCTATTAACTGTATAGCAAGGACTGTGTCAATTGACTATGTTACTGGTAAGGTTTCTGGTCAACAGTAGCCTATGAGTAGTTAAGTTTTGGGGTAATCAAAAGTTATATGCCAATATCTAACTGCACAGGGGGTCAGCACCTCTAATGCCCACATTGTTCAAAGGTCAACTGTATTTTAAAGTCTCCAGAATAACTGTATGCTATGATTCAAGAGTTAAGATGAGAAGAAGGGAGGGAGATGGTAGTGGTAGACAAGAGTAATTATTTCATTCTCAATTTCAGGTATCTAGTGTTCAAAAATCATGGATCAAAATCACCTTTAAACTGAATGAGGAGAATGATAAAAGGCAGATAAATTCATTTTTAATACTTTTGATAAGTAACATGAATATTTTAAAACATAATAAATTTTAAAATTAGCATCCCTTCTCATGGAAAGAAATTATGCAGGGAAAAGAATGCAAGTTAGATTGATGTTATGTTTCCTGATTGTAAATATGTTCTCATTTCCAGTGTTCTTATTCTAGTTCTCCATGACCCACACAAGAATAGGGTAAAGTATGAGGACTGGGGAAATAACAGCTGTGGTAGTTATGTTTGCGTGTCAACTTGGCTGGGCCTGGTTGAGTGGCTGAGCAGCTGGTGGTAGTTATTCCTCATGATGAGACTGGCAATCAACTCCATGGTGGAATCTACCACAAGCAGCTGAGTAGCTGCCTTTGGGATGTGGTCTGCTTCCTGTATTTAAGGAGAAGCCTTGGGAATGGTCTCTAGCTTATGGCACCTTAAATCCTGCATGTAGCTGTGTCGCTGTTCAGCAGCCTGCCATGCTCTGCCGACCTTGGGACTTACAATGGACTTGAATCAATGGCCTGCAGTGTGATTTGGTAATATTGGGACTGTGCTTTTTTATTTTGTCAACCTTGGGCTTGGCAGCCTCAGCAGCCAGTAGCTGTCTGAGTGAAGAAAAGCCTCTAGCTTCAGTGGGCCAGGAGCTGGAGGCAGAGCTAAAGCCCAAGGCTGAGAGGCTTTCACCCAGCTCCTAGAGTCTGGCACTTTGAATTTGGACTTAAAGCCTCCAAATCGTAAGAATAAACTTCTGTTTATTTAAGCCATCCCATTTGTGGTATATTCCCATCAGAGCGGCACTAGGTAACCAGAACAATGGCCCAAGTTCCCTTTTCCCAAACCAGAAGTAGAGGGTGCCACACTTGAGAGGACTCCTCAAGGCCCAACCTACCTTTCTCTTTGCTCAGCTGAAGTAAGATATTTCTCTTCTCCTCCAGCTCAGCATTCAGGTGATCCTGCAACTGAGAGACTTTCTCCTGTAGCTGCTCTCCTACAAGCTCATTGTCCCAGTGAGGCGCAGTACTGCTGTTCAGCATGCTGAAAATAGGAAGTGAGCAAGGAGGGAGGGGACACTCGTCAGACAACACTTGAAAGTAAATGATAGGACGTCTCTATTACACACTTTCAGCATCTCCTGGACCTAGTTCATCATTCACTCTCCTACATGTTTTTCCCCTATTTTATCTGTAACTGTCATTTACCAACTGTCTTGGAACTTTGGGGTCTTATTGGACAGTTGCTCTGTTTAGCTCTCAAGTATTCCGTTGAGCAAATACCCCAAGTCATACTCATTTTCCAAGGAACTTGTCCAGTGGGATGGCTTTCTTTATGCAGGGAATCATGTACCAAGATGTTCTCAGGCCTGTAAGATCAGAAATAAGGTGCAAAATATTCCTCTTCTCCTTACTCTATTCCTCTATCTGCCTTCACCAATAGCCAGTTTAGAGAATACTTGCCTTTGAATTAGATTATAAATTATTATACCAGAGGGCTCTGGTGGTGTAGTGGTTAAGGTGTTTGGCTGCCTGTTCAAACCCACCAGCCACTCCACAGAAGAAAGATGAGACAATCTGCTTCTGTAAAGATTTCCAGCCTTGGAAACTCTGTAGGAGTTGCGATTGACTTCATGGCAGTGAGTTTTGTTTTTTAAATATACCAGAGGGCAAGAACTAGACTTTTCAGTGACTATACCTTTTACTCCAAGGTCCCTAAGTGATGCAAACAGTTTATACTCAACTGTGGTTCTAACTCACCAGAAGGTATCAGAAAGCCTGGTGATCTGCTTCCATTAAGACTGCAGCCAAGAAAACTCTATGGAGCAGTTCTACTCTGAAACATATGGTGTCACCCTGAGTCACAATTGTCTTGATGGCAGCTAACAAGAAGAACCCTGTACCCCATAGTATTTAGCTGTCAGGGCAGACTCATTTTGAACACAAAACACACATGGCTAATTCTTGATTATTTACACAAATGAAGTGACATTAATAGTGAAATATTTATTTCTGTTTATGTCTTTTTTCTAATTTTAATAAATATGGTCTAAAAACAACTTGCTCAGGTTAATACTAAGATTGCTTGGCATTTCCTCACCATACATCACAAGGTGACTGAAAAAGATAATATTCTTCGTGATAAAGGGAAGAGGACAATAGCAATGTTTGTCACAGGGGGTCCACGAATAGATATCCCCACACTGCTTTGCTTCACTGAGTTGAGAGCATCATTGTTTCCTGATACTACTGCCAACCATCTATTCCAACTCACAACGATGCTATAATACAGAGTATAACTATCCCATGAGGTTTCCCGGGCTGTAAATCTTTATGGAAGCAGACTGCCTCATCTCTCCCATGGAAGCGGCTCATGGGTTTGAACTGCTGACCTTTTTTTTTTTAGCAGGTGAATACTTAAACCTTGATTCTCCGATTCCGAGACAAAAGGCAAAGCACTATCTGGCTTTAATCACTATGCCACCAGAGTTTCTATGATATGCTCAGATAACTGCCCCAATCTGCCATCTACTGCCCTTAACTGGGTCAAAAGAAAATTTTAATTTTTTCAAACTTCCAAGTGTTCTTAACCACAAAAGACATACATGGATACACATTCATTGCAAAAAATTGAAATAATATAGAAGTATATAAAACAAAAGTGAAGGTGCTCTTTGCCCTACTCCAAACCTCTTTGTATCTCCAGTATATCCTCATTAACAGTTTATGGATCCATACATACACATAACAAAAATTAGACCAGCATTAATATTAATATATTAATTTAATGTATTATTTGCTTTTTTCTTTTAACAATAAATATATCTTAGACATGTACCTCCACCTCATTTATAACAGCTGGACAGAATTTCCTTCTAGGGATGCATCATGATTTAATCAATCCCCTATCAATGGGAATGTGGGTGGTTTCTAATTTTTTTTAATTTATAAACAATACAATAATTGTCAATGCTTATAGGATTCCTTCAGCATTGATTTAAAAAAAATGGAATTGCTAGTACAAAAGATATGCATATTTAACATTTTGGTAGTGTCAGATCCTAAAAAGATTATTCCAATTTATGCTTTCACTAACAATACTGAACACCATTTTTCTCATACCTTATCAAAACTAAATATTATTTTTAAAATCTGGAAGGCATTTTTCTATAAAAACTATGCAAACACATATGAGCTGAACATTTACATTAGGTAGATACATTCCTTGGAGAGATCAATCATGGGAAGATAGAAGGGCAGTCAGTGTATGCACAGGGAGACAGCTGGGGGTGGGGCAGGAGTGCATGGGAGGGAAGGACACAGGGAAGTAGCTATGTGGGGGAAGTGGGAGGAGAGAGCTGTTACATTATGGGAAATTGCAGTCAATATCATGAGATAACATGTGTATGAACTGCTGTATGGAAAGTGATTTTGCTGTGTAAACTTTCACCCAAATCACAATAGAAATTTAGGGGAAAAAAAAAAATGCAAACAGTGCTCTAAGACCCAAATTTGGTACTCACTTTTCTAAGAGTTTCTCATAATTGTCATTCAGCAATTTTCGTTCTTTTTCCAAATCTTCAACTCTCTCCTGAAACTAAGAATGATAGTAGAGTGCTTGAGATAACATTTTGAAATCTATTGCCCTGCATAGGTTTTCTCTTTTCTCTTGCAATGTGGGGATAGGGCAAGAGCTCTTCTATGCTCATCTCCTATGTCAATGATGGAGAGAGGAATCATTCAACTAGAGAGAACAGAACCAACTCAAAGTGGAGTAAAAACTTTTAGTGGAATTGATGATGATTCTCTGAAGCAAGTTTTCATGGTGTCCGGGTTTCTACTGCTAGGGAAGAAGCAGTACATTTTGAAAGAGTAATAACTTTGGAGGAAAGATGTCACTATGAAACCCTCTCACAGTTTAATCTTGAGAAAATTAGTTAACCACATGGAGCCTCATTTTTCTCATTTGTAAAACTGAAATACTGGTAAGATACACATTTTACCATCTCTGAAGTTAGAATGTAGTTTGTTATTGATGGTATTTTTTAATTATTATGGTAATTTACCTCCTTCAGAGACACTTGCAGGATAGCTACATCTTCCAGTTGGGTCTTCAAGCTCACAGCCTTTTTGCTCTCCTCCTTCAGCTCTGCCCTGAGCTCATTCACCTGGCCGAGGAGGGCATCATGAGCTACACCCAGGATTCCCTGATTCTGAGACAAAAGGAAAGGCACTCTGGGGATGGCCATATTACTCAGCAAATGGTGGTCTCAAGATACTAGTAATCCTAGCATTCTTCAGTAGTTGTCACCAAGAGTGACCTTGATTAGTATTCCATTGCTTTTGCACTGTAAACTGACCTTACTTTTCATCCTAGAATTTATCTGGAATTATAGTTTCTCTGTTAAGTGAGAATTTTCCACTCTGGGAAATTGTAATTCATAATTTAAGCCTCTTTTTTCCAAGGTTCAAACTAAGCCCTAACTCTAAGTTAGGTGCCATGTTTAAAGGGTGCCTTTAACTTTCTAAACTATCTGATGCTTTTTTGCGATGACATAGTCCTCCCTTTGCACCTGAGAAAGTGGCAGCTGATATCAGATGACTCCAGACGTAAAGTGACTATATTTTAGGTGAACTATATTGTTTCTCAAGGAGCTCTGGTGGTGAAGTGCCTAAGGCATTTGATTGTGAACCAGAAGGTTGGTGGTTCAAACCCACCAGCCACTCCGTGGAAGGAAGACTGGGCAATATACTTCTGTAAAGATTTACCACCTCAGAAACCCAAAGGGGGTCGCTATGAGTTGGAATTGACCCAATGGCATTGAGTTTAGTTATTGGTTTTAGATTGTTTCCCTGGTGAGGAACATCTGTGGCTGATTATGCTGGGAACTCTGATTTGTTGTTGCTTTGTGTTGTTAGTTGCCACAGAGTCCTACTCATGACATAATGTTATGTATAACAGGACAAAATATTGTACCATCTTCACAATTGTTGGTACGTTTGAGTCCAATGTTGTAACTGTTGTGTCAACCCATCACATTGAGGGTTTCTCTCATCTTTACTGGCCCTCTGTTATCACCATCTGTCTGTCAGTTTCTTGTTCTGTGGTGGCTTGTGTGTTGCTATGATACTGTTAGCTATGCCACCCATATTTCAAATATCTGCAGGGTCATCCATGGTGGACAAGTTTCAGCAGAGCTTTGAGGCTAAAATAGAGTACGAAAAAAGGTCTGGCAATCTATTTCTGATATTAGCCAGTGAAAAACCTATGGATCACTACAGAGCTCTGCCTTAGTGACCATTAATCATTGACATTCACTCAGCCCCAACTCCACATCTGTCACCCAATTATAGGGATGAATCTGGCCAAATATTTAATAACACCAGAGAAGATTTGTGACAACTTTGTTGTATCCCATCACATCACACATGCTGGAAGAATTTTCTTAGGACTCTTTGAACAAATGCTATAATTCTCCAAAGCAATAGCCTGAAAAACACTATACCAAATATTTCTCAATGCAGATCTCATATTCAGTTTTTATGGAGATAGTGTAATGATATTTTCTGACAATAAAATATCAGTTGTCTTAGTAGAAACTTATAATAACTTTGATTTAGTTGGCTAAATTCTGATGTTGTATTAGTTGGAGATAAATATGAATTTATTTGAATTTGATTACTCTATTAACAAACAGAGATTCAAGGAATCTTTATTAAGTACCTTCTGGAGCAGGGTTTCATATGCCTGGAAGAGAGAAATAAGTATTATTCTATTGATTTATCCATTGGATATTTATGTTTGGTATTTATTTATCTCTATAATAAACATCCTTAAATATTTCTTTTTCCAAAAACACTCTAGGGGGACTTCCAGTAAGATGAAGGAATAGGCAGACAAGCGACACAGACCCTCTTCAACAAAGAAAAGAAAAACCAATTGACAGAGATACAGAAGATCCTGGAGCCCTGAGCTTTGAAAGGAACTATACAGAAGTGGATTAGGCACCAACCAGTGGAAAAACCTGAATGAAAACAGTGAAAGATGGTCAGAGCTGTGGACTGTTAGCTACTCTGACAGGACCAACAGCCTGAATACTTTCAAGTGGTATTGGGACCTGAGAATTGACCTAAAAAAGATCAGCCCTGGTCACCAAGGACTGCAGGGATGACTATGCTGGTGGCCTATGACTAGGAAGGGAAACAACACGGTGGGAGACAACCTGAGCTGTTGACTTTCCGCTGTCCGGAGGCAGCAGCCATTTTGATTGCTTACACCAGCAGCCATTTTGGATACTTAAAGTGACCGAAGGTGCAGCCATTTTGAATTTTTACAAGTGGCAACCATTTTGGATTTTAAAGTGATAGCATCTTCATTTGGATTCCAGGGACCTAAGGATAGGCTCTGTTTGCCAAGGTTGGAAGGGATATATGAGAGGCTGACAACAGAAAAGGACACAGGTGGTGACTGTATAAGTGCTGCCCACTAGCAAATAGAGGAGCACAGCACAGTACCCTGCTTACATAGATAACATACAAACAAAACAAAGAAAATGAAAATTGTGGGCAAGTCACTCCAACATACAATCACCAATTAAATATAAACACAAAAACGTCACAATGCCTTGGAGACAACAGAGCATCACAGTCCACACAAAGAAGTAAGATAAAGCAGGAGAAACAAGGGACCAGCATAGAGACCCAAAACACATTCCTGAGGAAGATGCAGCATTAGAACTCCCTGATAAGGAATTCAAAATAATTATATTTAGGTATCTTCAACAAATTGGGAGACAGATCAAGGAAAACATGGAGAAAACCCTAGAACAATTTCAAAAGAAAATACAAGAACAAAATGACAAAATAAATGAAAAATTAGAAATGATACAAAATCTACACACGGAAATCCAGAAGACTAATACTAAATTTTCAGAATTAGATAAGACATTGAATGGGCAAAGGAACAGTTGAATCAATGGAAGACAGAATTAGGAAGATTGAAGGCAAATACCTGAACACTTCTTTGGAAAGGAATAAATCAGAAAAAGAGCAAAACAAAATGAAGAAAGCCTAAGGTTCATGTGGAATACCATCAAAAGGAATAACCTACATGAAGAATTCCAAAACAGGAAGAAACAAATAAAACCACAGAGAAAAGTGTCAAATATTTGTTGGAAGAGAATTTTCCTGGTATGATGAAAGATGAGAATATATCCATTCAGGAAGCCCAACAAACCCCAAACAAGATAGACCCCAAAAGAAAATCACCTAGACATATCATCATCAAACTTACCAAAATCAAAGACAAAGAAAAAATCATGAGAGCAGCATGGGAAAAACAAAAGTTACCTACAAGGGGCAACGAATAAGACTAAGCTTGGATTTCTCAACAGAAACCATGTAGGCAAGAAGACAATGGAATGATATATATGAAACACTGAAGGGGAAAAATTTCCAACCAATAATTATGTACCCAGCAAAAGTGTCCCTCAAATATGATGGTGAAATTAGGACATTTCCAGATAAGCAGAAATTAAGGGAATTTGTTAAAACCAGACCAACCTTACAAGTGATGCTGAAGGGTGCCCTTTGGACAGAGAAGCAACAACAGCCAACCACAACTGACCATTAACACACATGATGATATAACCCAGAAACCAATGCAGCTATGGAAGTGTCCAAAGTAAATAAGCCTACAAGATTGTAAACAGGGAACCAGAGACATCAATTGACAAATGAGGACAACAAACCAAAAGGAGGGAAAAAACTGTCATTACAGAATTTCTAGTTGGTAGGGAAGTCAAGACAACTACAAGATAGAATGGACCGTTTTAAACTTAGGAAGAAAACTATAAATCATAGGGTGACCTCAGAGGAAAATGATAAACCTTCATGTCATAAAAGAGGACCAGCATAAATATTCAGCAAATATTAAAACAACAGCAATGAAGGAAGTGATAACACAATTAATAAACAAAACAAGCTCAGCATGGAAAATTATATGGAACAAAGAAATAGACACCACGAAAAAGCACATAACAAAAATGACACCAACAAATTCATATTTGCCAATAATTACATATCTGGCAAAGGACTTATCTCTAAGATTTATAGCGGAAGAGTGGGTGACCAAATTATGGTACATACACATATGGAATGCTAAGCAGCACTAAAGAATAATGTATTCTGCAAAACACCGCCTAATATGGATGAAGTTGGAGGACATTGTGCTGAGTGAAGTAAGTTGATCACAGAAGGACAAATATAGTATTAGTTCATTGTTGTGGAGGGTCAAGGAAAGGTTTATATATGGAAGGAAACTTTCTTTGTTGATTGCCAGGGGTGGGAGGGGAGGGCAGGGAACACTGCAAAAAAAAAAAAAAAAGCATTGACCCATGTCACTTTAGTTTTGTGTATTTCACTGCACATAAATTATATTTCAATAAAATGCATTAAAATAAGGGAAAAAATATGAGTGGAAAAGGCAGTAAATTGAGTAATTTTATTTAATGTAACTGAAAATATGTATATGTAATGAAATTATTCCAAGGGGAAAAAAAAAAACTCTAATTTCCATAAATCAAGTAAATTTGTGTACTTGTTTACTAATTATTACTCCTTTTCACCTGCCCTACTTGGCCAGCTAGTCTGTGAATGTAGTAAGTTACATTATTTCTTTTGAAAGGATGAATGGTCAATTATTTACATTTGCATTGCATTTAGTGGGTTATACAAGAAGAATATTTAATCTCAAACTAAGTGCTATCTGTTTCTCAGCATGTTTCAGAGGGCCTCCTTCCAGTTTTAGAAAGAGAAACAACAATAATCAGCTTGACAACTACAGCAACCATTTGTTGAGTAGTTACCATGCCTTACATTGTATGTTACTAAGTGTTTCATTATATGTTACCTTATGAACTTTATCCAGCCACTCCTTGGAAGGAAGTTTGGGCAATCTACTTACCTAGTGATAGGACTCAGAACCCAAGGAGGGGTCGCTATGAGTCAGATCCCACTGGACGGCTGTGAGTTTGGTTTTTTTGTAATCTTTATAATTGTTTCACATATATTACCTCATTTAACCCTTATTCTGAGAGGTAGGTTTTATTATCTAAAGTTTGAAAATAAGAAAAGAAGTTCAAAGAAGTTCAGAGAGTAGCTTGCTAAGAATAGGTAACAAGAGACAGAATGTTACCTCAGCCTGTATAACTCCAGAGCCTGTGGTGTTTGTTGACCACCATATTTTACTGCTAAAGGATTAAGGGAATGCAAACTCACTTTAGTATATGTGTAAGAAAGCATAACTAGAAAGGTAATTTGCTAAAGAAACACAAATTGTGTGTCTTACATTCAAAAAATAAATTGTGGGCAATGATCCATTATTTTAGATCTTCTCTACTCCCATTTCCTGCCATTAACACACATAAGGAAATTCTTTTTTTACTTTTTCCTTATTTTTTTTAATAGAAACATATAGATTTTTTAAAATCTAATTCTACAAAAATAGCTACTTACTAATATAACTTTAAATTACCTTCTTATCCACATTTTCACATTTTTTAATTGTTACCAGAGTTAACCAGAAAACAAGCTTATGCATTGTTCTCTAAAAGACATCTGCTTAGAGGTTGGCCTTGTGAAGATGCCGTTAGCCTTTATGAGAACAGATAATTGGAGGGCATTGCTAACGCTAGCCAGATCCAGTATTGGTGAAGGGCACCACTATCCTCTAATCACCCAAGCTAGAAACCCAGGAGTCATCTTTCATTTCTCATTTTCCCTCATCCCACTCCCTTTTGGTGACAAAGTCTGTGTTTCTACTTCCTGGACATCTCTCAGTATGGTCCCTTTCTCTTCCGGTCCTTGACACAGCCTCACTTTGGGCCCTCATGTTCTCTCTCTTGGACCACTGCAGTAATCATTTTCCTGATTTCTCTGCCTCTAGTCTTGAAGTAGGCAACCTATTCAATCTCCTGCCAGAATGATCATTCCTTGTGGTTTTGTAATTTTTTTAGAAATTTGAAAAATTCAGAAATATACAAATAATACAGTCATCTATAATCTACTGGGAGTTCCTGAGAAGGAACTCCTGGGAGGTACAAATAGTTAATGTGGTTGACTGCTAACTGAAAGGCTGGAGGTTCAAGTCCACCTCGAGGTGCCTTCAAAGAGAAGCCTGGCGATCTCCTTCTGAACGATCAGCTACCGAAAACCCCATGGAGCACCATTCTACACTGCCATGCACCAGGTGATCAGAAATCCGAATCAACTTGATGGCAACTGATACTGATACCTACTTACAAGCTGTCCTCTCACTTTTGTAAGTGTCTTGAAGGCAGGAGCTATCTTATCTATCTTTGTAATCTTTCTATCCCAGTGCTTTGCACAGTTCCTGACATTCAATAAATATCTATTCAGAACAAAAAGAACAGGGTTGACTTACCCCTTACTACCTTTGATGCCCTATCTCCACAATCCTGATATGAGTTTCTGTTGTGTTAGTAACAGCAAAAGAGCATGAGCCTTGATGCCAGATAAATCCGGACTCAAATCTTGCTCTGCCCCTGCCTATTTTTATGGCTTGAGAAAGTTATTTAACTTCTTTGAAGCTCAGTTCCCACATCTGTTAAATGTATTTACCTTAAGGTCTGTTGCCAGGCTTAAGGGAGATGATGAATGTAAAATATCTAGGACAGAATCCAGCACATAGAAAGTGTTCAGTAAACGCCGGCTTCCTTCCTTTCCCATTATTGCTCTTGGCTTCCTGATTTAATTAAACTCTGACTGTGGTCCTTGGCTGGGACCTTAACCCTGACATGTATAAACTCCACTTACTTCCACTTTTAATGGACAGGGCTTGAGCCTTCTTGCTAATAGAGAAATCATGGGAAAGAATATGCTGACTTGCAAGACTTGGATTTGAATATTACCTAAAAATTGTGTAACCTTGGACAAGTAACTTAGTCTCTCTAAATTATGGTTTCTCATACGTAAAAGAGAGCAATTAATACAGATCTTAACTAATTGTTATTTTTTCCTCTCTCCAAGAAAGCACAGCTGATGATGGCAACTCACCTCTTGAACTTCTGTTAATTGTGTTTTTGTCACTACCAGTGAGGCGTTCCTTTCATGTAAGAGCTTCTTAAGTCGAATCAGCTCTATATTCTCCCTGATGGAAGCTCTGCAGAAAGAAGTTGCTGAAATACTCTGTCTATCAAAGCACAAGGTTAAGCACCTTTCCTCTCCACTGTGCACCAATAAGGACATCTCCCTCTTGCCTCCAGCTTTTCCATCTTCCCCACAACTCACCAGAAGTTGGGAGTGTATGTACACTCTGGTAAATAATCTCCTTTCTGCCATTTCCTATCACATCAGCTGAGGTTTGATGGACCACTAACCGTAAACTCTGTTCTGAGAAAACATAATAGCTGTTTGTCAATTACGGTGCTCACAGTTTCCCATAAACCTTGCTAAATGCAGCTGGGTCTGAGCCTTGCCGCCTTAGAGAAACTAGGAAGGTGAGGTAGAGAAGGACAACAAGGCAGATTAGCATTTCTGAACCTAGGAGATCATTTTTTGATTTGTCATTGGAAAGGTATTGGGGAAGATTTGGGCTCCTTGTGCTCTGTCTCAAGAAGCTCTGGTGGTGTAGTGGTTAAAGCATTTGGCTGCTAACCAAAAGATCAGTGGCTTGAACCAGCCATTCCATGGAAGAAAGATGAGGCAGTCTGCCTCCATAAAGATTTATAGCCTTGGAAACCCAATGGGGATTGCTATGAGTCAGAATCAATTTGATGGCAGTGAATTTGTTTTTTTCCCATCTTAGTGGTCTATCTCAGTGATTCCCAGTACAAGCTGCTCATTAGAATCACCAGTAGAGCTCCTCAGTGTAGTGCCTAAGGCACTTGACTGCTAACCAGAAGGCTGGCAGTTCAAACCCACCAGCCACTCCTCAGAAGGAAAGTTGGGCAATCTACTTCCATAGTGATACCACCTCGGAAACCCAAGAAGGGGTCGCTATGAGTCGGGTCTGACTAGATGGCACATAACAACAATAACAATAACAGATCCTACTCCCAAATAAGTGAAGGGAATTGCTGGGGTGGGGCCTAGGCATCCACGGTTCTCACAATTCGTCAATAACTGATGCCCATTAAAGGCTACCCCTCCTGGTAGTGAGAATGACATAGTTTTCCTTGTACGAAGTGAATTAGCAAATCTTCTACTACACATAAGCATCCCCATTAGGTTAACCCATTTCTTAACGCACTAGGGACTCTGGGTCTACTCCTCAGATTGAGCTTAATCCCAAACATTCTCTTTTCTGCTGATATAGAGAAAAGTACACTCTTACTTCCTCAGTTCACTGTGGTTTGAGGTACGGAATGCATTCTCTTACCGAAGCTCTGTGGCCTTCTGAGCACACTCTGATGAACTTCTCTGTTCAAAATCTTCATCTTTGGACCACATTTTCTCAGGAGACATCGATGGTTCTTCTACTTGCATTGTATTGCTGGTCATACTGTGGGCTCCGCTAGGTATGCATAGGCGTGAGTTTAGTTGTAATTATGGCTTTGTTGAAAGAAATTGTACTGTTAGAACATTAAACACAAAAAGTAGAAGTAGAAACTGCCATGTTATCAGGGTTTAGAATAGAGCTCTCACAAATATAAAAAGAAGTTAGAGGAGTTAATAATCTTGGTATGTGTGGAGGATAATCTTATGAAATATGGATTTCAAGTGTCAAATAGAAGTATAAATGAATTATGACCCAACGGCAAAAATATAAATAAAAATAGAGGAAATGTCTTCAATTAGACAAGGGACTTTATTTGCTTTTCCTCTGAGGCCAGAAAAATATTCATTTTCCATTTTTAAGCAATAAAGTTGAATTACTCTAGGATTGACCTTCATCTTCTCTGATCATGCTTGTTGTTGTTGTTTGCCATCGAGGCGACCCCTCCTTGGGTTTCCGAGGCAGTTATCACTACAGAAGTAGGATTGCCCAACCTTCCTTCCGAGGAGTGGCTGGTGGGTTTGAACCGCCAGCCTCCTGGTTAGCAGTCAGTGCCTTGGCACTATGCTACCAGAGCTCCTGCTAGAAGGACTCTATATTGTTAACACTCGTTTCCTAAATTATGTGTTTCCAATTAAAGTTGCATGAGTAATAGGTACACAGGATAAACGAAAGAACTTACAGTTTGCTGGGTTCACTGGATATTTCAGCTACAGTTTTTTCATTTGTCAGATCCCCCTTGAATGTAGGAGGGGCTGTGTAGCTCAGTCTGTCTTTTGGCCCTGAAATTAGATAGAAGATGGAGACTCTGGCAACAGAATTCTCCAGAATACCAAGTGCTAGAACTAGAACACCAAATGATGGAACTAGGGAGTCTTGAGGCCAGGGCTTTAAACCAGTTCATTCTGGTTCCACTTCCTGCTGAGAATTTGCATGTCCACCCCAGAAATACTGAATCAGAATTTGCATTTTAACAAGATCCCCAGGTGATTCTTATGTATACACAAGACTCTGTAAGACTTATAAGAAGCACCAAGATATCTTGTTAAAATGTAGATTATGATTCAGTATATCTTGGGTGGAAATGCAAATTATTAGCAGGGGGTCAAACCATAATGAACCAGTTCCAAGCCCTTCTTGAGACCAAGGGAAATCCTTGTATGACACGTGATCCCAGAGGAGCAGTTCTTAGTCTTTATTCTTGCATAGAACTGCAATTACAGATTTAATAAATCAGCAGGATTGTAGAGTCTCAAGTCAGTGAGTTTAAATGGAAAGAATGCAAAAAAAAAAAAAAGATGCAAGCTTGTCCAGGGCAGCGACTGTGTGCATGTTTATCTCCAGTTCTTGGTACTCAGCTCAATAAGGCTGAACTTAAACTGTTAAACTGAACTGGCATTTAGACTTATCTGATTTTTCTACTTTTAGGTGATTTTGCAAAGGTTTGGTTGGCTAGAATATGGCCTTGAAAGTATAGGACCATATTGACATATGAGTACTTATTAGTAAGCTAAGTGTATTTACATTAAATGCTGTGTGTAGATTTATTTCACCTAGGCTACTCAGCCCCAGTTTAGGTCTATGGGAACGAGGTGTCTTTAACCTGGAACTCAACATTGGGTTTCCTACCTCACTGCTAAACAGAAGGCTGGCAGTTCAAACCCACCAGCCACTCCTCAGCAGGAAGATGGGGCAATCTACTTCCGTAGTGATACTGCCTCAGAAACCCAAGGAGGGGTCGCTATAAGTCAGACTCGATGGCACATAACAACAACAACAACCAGCCAGAGAAAGACTTCTCAGCCTCTTGCAACTCTTATCAGTGATTTACAATGATAAAACCTGGTTTCTAGGCCTGGAAGGAGCCCTGGTGGCACAGTGGTTAAAGTATTCAGCTGCTAACCAACAGGTCAGTGATTTGAACCCACCAGATGCTCTGCGGGAGAAAGATGTGGCATCTGCTTCCATAACGATTTACAGCCTTGGAAACCCTATGGGGCAGTTCTACTCTGTCTAATAGGGTACTATGATTCAGAATTGACTCAACATGGGTTTTGGGGTCTAGGCCTGAACTTCAGGGATGGGCTTTGGGAATCATTGAACCCATGAGAGTATAGACAAAGTTTTATATATGTGTACGTGCCTTTTTTTTTTTTTTTTGCAGGGGTCTGGGGACCCTTAGCTTTGACAAGGTTTGTTCATGCCCCACTAAAGATTAAGAACCCCAGCTTTAGAGGCACCATTGTTAGAAATCTGGACTCTCCAGCCACCTAACACAGACATACAGTGGGAGGACCAGACTTGAGATCACTCCCCTCACACCTGAACAGGAATATCTGCTTTTTTCTGCCCCACTGCAAAGTCAACCAGCAAAGTCCCTGTTTCTCATCGTCCAATTCTCCTCCCTTCAGCAACACTCCATGGTGAACTGAGAATTTTGAACCTGACATTCCACTCAGGGAAAAGAAAATTTTAGGGAGGTAGGAAAGGGGGACTGAAAACAAAAGAACAAAATGGGGTGATGGGAGCAGTGGCATCACTAGGAGGGGGTACAGGGGGTACAGACCACACTAGGTAACACTGCCAGAGGAGTGACACCAAAATGACTGTCTATAAAAATTTTGTGCAGTATTTCAGTAGAATTTTATAATTTTTATTAAAATATCCCTGTAGTTAATTATAACAACAAAAACATTTTTTACAAGCCTACTTTACATGTATCAGTATACCTACAAGGCTACACTACAACTCTACACTAATTATATTTTTAACTTTCTGACATACTCTATAAGGAGCTCTGGTGGTGTAGTGGTTAAGGCATTTGGCTGCTAACCAAAAAGTCACTGGTTCAAACCCACAAGCCTCTATGCAGAAGAAAGATGAAGCAGACTGCTTCTATAAAGATTCATTGTCTTGGAAACCCAATGGGGGTCGCTATGAGTTGGAATTGACTGGATGGCAGTTTTTTGGTAATGTACTCTGGTAAGAACTGTGTTAATTACCCATTTACAATGATGTTTTGAATCAGGTGGTTTTGTGTGCTACAAGAACACATTCATTTTCATTGCTTCTGATGTTTTTATAGTTGCAGATGTGAAATTTTCTGATGTTTTAGCAACAATGTCATGGTAATCAGTGAACCTATATCAATAACTCTTTTGAGAATGGAGTAGTAATTAAAGGAGAAAAATCAAAAAAGGCTTCTGCTCATTGACTAATGAGACAGTAACTAATAATGTTGTAATTCAATGTAGAAAGATGTTACAAAACAATTTTGTTGTCAGTATTCATATAATCTGACATTATAACATTTAAACATTTAAACAATTTACAACTATATATCACATATTATTGTATGGTTACAATTGAAAACAAGTATAATTAAGGATTCTGTATGGTCTGGTACGGGAGGAGGTTCACCGAGGGGGGTGACACCATGAGTTACCACACTGGGTGATACCAATCCTAATGACTGCCACTGGATGGGGGATATCGAGCAGCAGTAAAATGTGACTGTAAATCAATCCTTCCCAGTGGTTAAACCCTGAGGAATAGCCTTGTACCTCACCTCTCCTGGGTTTCTCAGGCACCGGGGTTTTGGCGGTGTGGCACTGTCTGCGCTCCACGTGGGCACGAGGTTGGGCGGGCCTGGAAGACCTGCAGGAGCGCAGGATCTGCTGCTGCAGCTGGTTGGGCATCGGGAGACAGCGGTGCATCGCAGGGCGCTGCTGCCACTCCACGTTCCCCTGCCGCCCTGCCGGCTCCGGGAGCTGCTCCGCCGCCGCCTGGGCCCGCAGGTCCCGACCCACAGCGCTCAACCGAAGCAAGGTCGTCCTCAACCGATGGGCAAAAATGAAAGACAGTGAACACGTGGTTTCACCTTCAATGTCAGTTATTATTTCTACAGTTTATTTGGTGGCAGTTAATCACGAATTGACCTGTGATATGAATTGTCCTACTGTGGTTCATTCTTTTCTTTTTTTTTTTTTAATTTTATTTTGATTTGGGTGAAGATTTACAGAGTAAATTCACTTTTCATACAGCAGTTCACATAATATACTTTGTCTCATGTCATTGACCAAAATTTACAATGCAACAGCTCCCCTCCCACTTCCTTCCCACAGTTACCTCTTCCCAGTGTTCATCCCTCCATACTCTTCTGCACCCTAAGCTGTCTCCCTGTGCATAAGCAGCCCTTCCTTCTCGGTTCATTATTTTCTTAAAAAGAAAAAAATTAACTTTCTAATTCCAATACACTGACTCCTTGACGCAGAGACATTTTGTTATACTTCTTTTTCTATTGCAGTGATCACACATTCATTTCAGTAAAAAATGCTGGTGCACTCCCCAGATATATGTATGGGTATATTTATTTTTAAATGATACACATTTACTTCGGTACTAATGAATTACGGATTATTATTTTTTTTTTAAATAGAAATACTCATTTTAAAAGAGGAGATAAATCTAACTAGAAATTTCAATATTTACTTCTCCCACCCCAATAACTGTCTTGTGCACCTCTGTGTATGAGCCCAGCTTCAAGGATTATTCTTCTATAGCAACTAATACACTGAACCTTACCTATAGTAGATACTTAACCTCTTTGTTATCTTGACCTAAAGTCATGCTTTTTACCTTTACAATTAGATTCTGTGGTTCCACTGCCTGTCTATTCTGACATTTCCTGACTGTGATGTTAGGTATATTACTCAACACTTTTGTGCTCTATTTTCCAAATTTATAAGTGAAAATGGAAGCTCTGGTAGCCTAGTGCCTAAGGCACTTGACTGCTAATCAGAAGGCTGGCAATTCAAACCCACCAGCCACTCCTCGGAAGGAAGATGGGGCGATCTACTTCTGTAGTGATACTTCCTCTGAAACCCAAGGAGGGGTCGCTATGAGTCGGGTCCGACTCAACAGCACATAACAACAACAACATCATAAGTGAAAATGATAATAATAATGTCTGTCTCATAAGGTTGTTATGAGGATTAAATATGTTAACATATGTAAAGTGCATAGAACAGGGACAGTGCATTGGTGGCACATAATGATTGCCTCCCCCCACTCCCCATACATCATCCCTCTTGGGTTTTGGTGTGGAGCTTTCTGCCTTCATGTGGGTGCAAGGCAGGGTGTAGTGAGGAGCAGGGGATAGACTCTAGCCATTTAACATCCATAATTTCAAGTACTTTATAGTTATCAACTAAGAAGCAAAATTGTTTAGGCCCATGTAACCTTTTGATGTTACCAGATTCTCAAGTTCTCTACAATACAAAACAATCAACTCTGAAGTATGCTGGTTTACAGTTGTTGTTATGTGCCGTCGAGTTGGACCTGACTCATAGCGACCCCTTCTTGGGTTTCCGAGGCAGTATCACTACGGAAGTAGATTGCCCAACCTTCCTTCCGAGGAGTGGCTGATGGGTTTGAACCGTCTGCCTTCTGGTTAGCAGTCAGATGCCTTAGGCACTATGCTACCAGAGTTTCTTGGTATACAGTAGAAGCCTGCAATCTTACAGATTCTAAATGAACCATTAGAAGCAACAACTGATGAACCCAACTTGTTCAACTACAGGTTTGTTCCTGGGGGCATTAACACCAACATCTTCAAAATGTGTTCTAGAGATAGAACTCGGACTTTCAGAGTCCCCGCTCTTCCCATCTACCCCCTCCCCCATCTCAGATTCCTCTCTGCTACTGCTTCTCCTAGCACCACCTCCAACTCTCCCTACTCTCCCTATATATTTCCTCTCTCCTTAAGATGGCAGGTCCCCGCCCCAGAGATCTAGCTTCAATAGGTCTCTAGTGGCATCAGGAATTAACATTTTAACAAGCCCACCAGGTAATTCTGATGCAAGTGGCCTTTTTGAAAGCCAATGCCATAAGGTCACTTCGCGTAGTATATTTCAGTGTTAAGAGCTTCCGGCTTTGCTGGGATCTTAGGCAAATCACTTAACCTCTCTGTGCCTCCTTTCACTGTTAATACCAGTGCCTAAGGAGCTCTGAGGAGCTCTGGTAGCATAGTGCCTAAGGCACTTGACTGCTAACCAGAAGGCTGGCAGTTCAAACCCACCAGCCACTCCTCGGAAGGAAGGTTGGGCAATCCTACTTCCGTAGTGATACTGCCTTGGAGACCCAAGGAGGGGTCGCTATGAGTCGGGAGCGACTCGACGGCAAATGACAACAACAACAACAAGGAGTTCTGGTAGCATAGTGCCTAAGGCACTTGACTGCTAACCAGAAGGCTGGCGGTTCAAACCCACCAGCCACTCCTCGGAAGGAAGGCTGGGCAATCCTACTTCCGTAGTGATACTGCCTCGGAAACCCAAGGAGGGGTCGCTATGAGTCAGGCCGACTCTACGGCAAACAACAACAACAAGGCATCTGAGGGAACTCTGGTAGCATAGTACTCTGGTAGCACTTGACTACTAACCAGGAGGCTGGCAGTTCAAACCCACCAGCCACTCCTCGGAAGGAAGGTTGGGCAATCTACTTCTGTAGTGATACTGCCTCGGAAACCCAAGGAGGGGTCACTCTGAATCCTATGAGTTGGGTCTGACGACGGCACATAACAACAACAAGGCATCTGACTGCTAACCAGAAGGCTGGTGATTCAAACCTACCAGCCACTCCTCAGAAGGAAGACTGGCCAATCTACTTCTGTAGAGATATTGCCTGAATTAACGGTGTTTATAATATTAGTTAATACATATAAAACATTTACCACTTGCCTGCACATAGCAAACGATCAATATGATTTTTATTTTTGTTTTGTGAATAAAGGTTGAGGGCACCTAACAGCAACTCCTACTTGTCCCTACAACCTTCCTTCCTCTGAGATGTTGGCCATGGCCCTCAGGCTTTCCTCTGCTTTGTGAGCAGAACAGGACCTGGATGAAAGAAGGTTTTCAGCCTGATAGCCCAGTCTCCTGCTCGGTGGTTTGAAGCAGTTTTACCCAGGTTCTTGATGATGCTTTGTGGCCACAGTCTATTGGTATGTTTGGTAGGAAAACAGAATAAAGCAATTTCTATTGCTTCAAAAATTATTTTTTGAGCCCCTCAGCCTTGAAATTTGATTAATTTTCTGGCATAATTATTTTAGCAAAAATGTATTCCTTTTTATTCAGTGTGTTGTAGGCCTGGTATAGATACAGCTTCCAAAGACTTAAGGAGAACTTGAGATACCTTTTGATCTCATCCTGTTGCTTCCAAGAAAATGTCTTCACCAGCATGTGCTCTTCACGGAGTCGAAGGAAACTGTCTTCCAATTCATCCCTGCTCATCTTGCTCAAGGATGGTTGAGTTTTTATATTTTTACCTAAAGTCCCAGGGGAGTGCAAAAAGAGATTACTTTTACATGTAACTTTTTAACCTATAGGGTCTGTTATCATATCTTGTCCAGAGGGTATAGATCCATCTTGAGTAGAGCATCTCAGAGAAAATTCAGGAAGTGTATGAGAATATGTGCTAAAGGAACTCTGGGGGCTTCTTTTTGTATCATGCCAGCATGAAGTATGACTAAGCTTCCTCTCTAGAAAGGGCATTCTTTTAATGAAAATATAAAATTGGGATTTTAATCTACTTGATTTTTCTTTTCAATCTCCACTACTTGTCTGTCAATTTGTCCGACTGTGGTGGCTTGTGTATTACTGTGATGTTGTGAGCTATGCTTCCATTATTTCAGATACCAGCAGGGTCACCCGTGATAGACTGGTTTCAGTGGAGCTTTCAGACCTAGACAGAGTAGGAAGAAGGACTTGGCAATCTACTTCCAAAAAAAAATTGACCAGTGAAAGTCTTATGAACAGCAGTGGAACACTGTCTGATAGTGCCAGAAGATGAGCCTGTCAGGTTGGAAGGTACTCAAAATACGACTGGGAGGAGCTGCCTCCCAAAGTAGAGTTGACCTTAATTATGTGGATGGAGAAAACCTTTCTGGACCTTCATTTGCTGATGGGGCATGACTCAAAATAAGAAACAGTTGCAAACATCCATTAGTAATCAAAATGTGGAGTATATGAAGTATGCATTGGAAGCTGTCAAAAATGAATTGGAACACATAAAGACTAATATCCTAGGCATTAGTGAGCTGAAATGGACTGGTATTGGCTGTTTCAAATTGGTCGTTCATATGGTCGACTATACTGGGAATGATAAACTGAAGCACTTACTGATGAAGAACAATTATTATAGCCTTCAGTGTGGATTCAGAGTACCAAGAAGCTCTGGTGGCATAGTGGATAAGTCAATTGAGTGTTAACTGGAATGTCAGTGGTTCAAAACCCACCAGCAGCTCTGCAGAAGGAAGATGGGGTGATCTACTTCTGTAAAGATTTACAGCCTTGGAAATCCAATGGGGCTGCTATGAGTCAGAAACAAATCAATAGCAGTAAGTTTGGTTCTTTTGGTTTTCAGTGTGGATTGTACTTCAACATAAAGAATACAAAATTCTTTTTATTTGTGAGGACAACTGAACCAATAAGCAACATCATGATAAATGAAGAAAAGATTGAAGTTATCAAGGATTTCATTTTACTTGGATTCACAATCACCATCCGTGGAATCAGCAGTCAAGAAATCAAACGACGTATTTCTTTGGACAGATCTGCAAAAGGCCTCTTTAAAGTGTAATAAAGCACAGATGGCACTTTGAGGATTAAGGCATGCCTTATCCAAGTCATGGTATATGCAACTGCCTCATATTCATAAGAAAGCTGCATAATGAATAAGAAAGACTGAAGAAGAGTTAGGGTGTTTGTTCTGGTTACCTAGTGCCACTCTGACAGGAATATACCACAAATGGGATGGCCTTAACAAATAGTTTATTCTTACAATTTGGAGGTTTTAAGTCCAAGTTCAAAGTGCCAGGCTCTAAGGGTTGGGTGAAAGCCCCTCAACCTTGGGGTCCAGCTCTCCTGCTCCTGGTCCACTGGAGCTAAAGACTTTTCTTCCCTCAGACAGCTGCTGGTTGCTGAGGCTGAGAAGCCCCAAGGTTGACAAGTAAAAAGGCATAGTCCCAATGTTACCAAACCACATGGCAGACCATTAACTTAAGTCCATTTTAAGTCCCAAGGTCGGCAGCACATAGCAGGCTGCTGAGCAACAACACGGCTACATGCAAGGTCCAAGCGTGCCATAGGCTAAGAGACCATTCCCCAAGGCTTCTGCTTTTATACAGGAAGCAAATCACATTCCCTAATGTAGCTACTCAGCTGCTTGTGGTAGATCTCACCATGGAGTTGATTTCCAGTCTCATCATGGGGAATAACTACCACCAGCTGCCCAGCCACTCAACCAGGCCCAGCCAAGTTGACACACAAACATAACCACCCCAGTGTTGGTGAAGAATATTGAATCTACCATGGATTACCAGAAGAACAAACAAATCTCTTAGGAGTACAGCCAAAATGCTCCTTAAAAGCATGTACCTTGGACATGTTATCAGGAGGGAATAATCTTGGAGAAGGATATCATGCTTGGTAAAGGAGAGAGTGAAAAAGAGGAAAACTCTCAACAAGATGGATTGACACAGTGGCTGTAACAATGTGCTGAAGCACAGCAATGATTGTGAAAATGGTGCAAGACCGGAAAGTGTTTGGTTCTGTTGTTCATGGGATTAAATATAAATCTGAACTGACTTTCCAGCACCTAACAACAACCTAAGGCCGACACCCTTAGGTGTTCTTTTGAATCCCATGGAACCTGATCCCCTGGAGTCACCTTCAGGTAAAACAACAGCTTAGTAGACAGATTAGCAGAGCGTTTTGCCTTAGGCATTGGGTTATTTTGGAAAATTATTTACTTGTAGTCAGCTTTGATAAGTAGTAACTCCAGGGTCTGATTAGAGGCTGTGCTTTGGGCTGTATGATGATGATTTTGTTTCTGTAACTAATTGATCCTGAAATCCTTCTCAGGTTTTGATGTTATCTTCTGAGAAATTAACATAACAGTGATTTATATAACCAGCTTTCACTGTCCTGTCTTATGGAGCTCCTTCTGATAGTTAATATTTGGACTGATGCTGTCCAATTTGAATCATATCTACTCACAATAAATATATTCTGTTAAACTAATATTTTGGTATTTCTCTAAGCATTTGTTTTTGATATTCCTTATTAGATAATTTGGGTGTAGACAAAGATTGTGCCAAAACTGTCTTCCAACCCCCAATAAGGAAAAGCAAAGAAACCTTTTTGATTACCAAGACTCATCTTTTTGTTTAAACAATTATGGTAATAAAATATATAAAAAAGAAAAGTTGCATTTTAATATTATTACCACTACCATTATCTATTTCCAAAGTTTTACATCACCCCAAAGAGAAACTCAGTACCTCTTAAACAATGATTCACCATTGCCCCCATACCCTCAGTCCCTGTGAGCCAGAATCTCTACTCAACGGCAGTGGGTTTAGTTTTTTGGGGTTTTTGTTTTGTTTTGTTTATTTGGCTAATCCAGACATACCTACTTTTCGATTAATGAATATCTTGTTATCTGACTTTTCACATTTATGACAATAGTAACAAATCTACTATCCGACTATTTTTCACATTAATGGGAAGCAAGGTGAAACGGGGAGGAGCAGGAGGAAAGCGAAGTTTGTGAGAGGGAGTAAGGCTGCACCAGCGTCCAGGAGGGAGGAGCTAGACCAGCCCTTGGTGAGCACCTGAGTGGGCAATGCGCAGGAGGTGTGGCTGGCCAAGCCTGTAAGAGATGGCAGGGAAAAGTTTATATATAGAGGGAAACTTTCTTTGTTGGT